GAGAGAGAGAGAGAGAGAGAGAGAGAGAGAGAGAGAGAGAAGAGTGAGATGAAAACTAGGTCGCGCAGTCGATGGCAGGAAATTATTTGAAAAGGGAGAAAATACAGGGAGAAGTCGCTTACCGCGCGAGAGCCCGTCGAAGAAATGAATTTTCGCCTCCGTGTCGAGGGATAAGCGGGCGCGTTCGATCGCGGCTGCCGCCTCAAGCCCGAGATATTTCGATCTTACCGACGGGCTAATTTTTTACGCGATTACGGGCCGGAAGTAAAGCCGAGACCGCGAGCAGGCGGATCGACGTTTCGCCCGAGCGTGTAACATCAATTTCCTGTCCGAAGTGGACTTGTTGGGAATTGACGTGTTGCGGATGTGAGTCACGTCCCGGCGTTGAATTTGACGAAAGTGCTCGTTAAACCTGATACCGTCGAAACCGCGAGCGCTTTGATGAGCGATTGATTACTGGAGGACAAACTGAGAAAAATCATGTTTGTTCCGGAGCGCGCGGGTACTGGTAATACTTCGCACAAACTGCAGATATCTGTAGAGGGTTTTTAGGTGTTCGAGTTCTCGGCGAGCAAATCTCTAATACGATCTCGCTCTTTAATTAACTTCAACTAGGCTACGCCATAATAGGATTCTCAATCAAAATTTCATCGCCAACATCTCTAATATCGAAGATTAAAAATTTCCGTTAAGTCCTTTAAGGAATACGTTGTAGCAGAAACTACACGCCGAGTATATTATAGTTTTGTTTATTTTTCATATAAGTTCTCTTCAGTTTCTAGTAGTGCAAGGATGAATCGTCAGTATACACTGAGAGGAGAAATATTGCAGAAATAAAGAATATTTATACGGTGAATAACATATTTTTATTTACACCAAATGAACTGTTTTTCAAATAAAAGAATATATATGTTTTCATATAAAAGCAATCATTTATGCTGTTTCAACAAAAGAATTTTGATTTATATTGCAATTCTAGACAAAATCGTAAAGCTCGTAACTTGTTCTCGTAAGACTCGTAAGAAATTATGAGTAGACGATTGATACATAAGCTACTTTACGACTTTACGATTTTACGATTTACTCGTATATTTGCTTAGAATTGCAGCATTAAACAGATATGTTATTAGAACTCATTGAAAAATTTTAATATTTAAACATTTTAGGTTTTTTTATATTTTTCTCTTGATATGTAAGATTTTGTCTTGTTGAGTAAAAATATAGTAAATTTCATTAAAAAGATAGCAAACTTTTTAATAACATCAAAATCATTATAATTTTTGTTCCTAAAATATAAATAATACATGTGAAATGAAATGAAGAGATAGTTAATTATTTACTAACTTCGCCGATTATGAGAATCTATGGTAATTTTTATTATAGAATCCTCTCCGTATACGCAACATAAGAGAACCATCATAAAAATTATAATCGGCTTTTGTGCAACTTTTTACTTTTCCTTATGAGTGAACGATTTGTCGAAGTGAGTATAACGGAGGATTTTGACCAGAAATTTATTGTTCTCAATGTTTACGGAATCGACTACTGAAGAATTACATCTGTGGATCTATCGCAAATAGAATATCGAGAATGGCAAACTGAATTCGAGTAAAATTCGGCGCGCGCCTCACATTTGCAGAAATAATATCACGCTTTTCGCGTATTAAGTTGACCCGCTCGGTTCACCGCGGCTATTATTTTTCCGCGGCAAAGCCGTTACATTGCCGAGCACCGCGGCAAAAGGACAAACGGCCAGAGCGCCGTCCTCCTTTTATCGTATTTACGGTAGCAGGAAATTACTTAAAAAAGGTTACGCGACTCCCAGGAAATTAGTTGAAAAGCGCGGCGAAAGGGCGTCCCTTCCGTCCCGTCCACGAAATGAATTTTCGCGGATACGAACGACAAGCTTCCTGCAAGGAAAGAGAGAGAGAGAGGGGGGGGGGGAAGAGAGACAACTTTCTAGGGAGACGCAGTAAGTGGCGTAGATCCGATTTCATCAATCCGCGCCAAAGGGTTACGAAGTTCGATTCGATTTTGTTTTGCGGACGCTTACTTAAGGGGAACTTAGTAGAGAAAGAAAAGCGAGACTTGTTTGAAAGATCATCCGTAACGTGATCCTCGATTTCAGCTTTTTGTCTTTAACGTGAAATACTCAAATTTAAATTTAGAGTTAGATACATATGAGAGTTTTTTACTTGAATTATATAATACACGTGACATATTTGCGATTTAGCTGAGAAACTTAGGTCTAACTCTAAATTAAAATCTAAGTCTTATCTGAAGCAAGTTTCAAGTTTAAACGGCTATTAATACGGACTATTAATATACAGACTTCAGATTTTTATTTAGAGTTAGACGTGAGTTTTTCAGCTGAATCGCGATTGTAAATGTAACACAAATCATACACATATACTATATATAATTCAAATAAATAAAAAAAAACTTTCATCTAACTTTACATTCAAATCTGAGTATTACACGTAGGATAAGTTTCAAGTGATGATTATTAATACGGGCCTAAGTCTGTGGATGAAACTCACATCCAACTCTAAATTCAAATCTGAAAATCTCATTTGAAACAAGTATCGAGCAACGACTATTAATACAAGCTTAAATCTCATCATAACGTATGGATACCTGTAAGTATATACTGAGTAAAATTCCTCGGTTATCAGAACAAAAGCATTTACTTGATAATCGTTAAGGAAACAGGCCCTTAGCTATGAAACCGATGTGAATCGGCAATAGTAGTAAAAGTTTCCGTTGCAGCAGCGAACCCTCAGCTGCAACAAGACAAAAAAATGAAAATATATGAAAATGAAAATGAAAATATATTTTAATGAAAATGAAAATATATTTTCAGCGAAACATGCTTAGCTGCGGGAAATATCTGAGAAATCTAGAAAAATTTGTTTTCTTCTTTTTTTCCGTGGTGTGAGCTGGTTGTCCATCAGGAAATTGCGACACTTGGTCCGTCCGGGAATGTCGATCAGACATTCGCCTTGTACGGCGGGTCGTGTTGCAATACGCAATGACGTCTTCCCAAGGAGCGGAGAGTCATCGAGCTTCCTCGACCAATCCGAACGCTTATCTTCGCGTGATCGTTCGAGAGGAAGTCCGCTTGATCGAATTAAACGAACTTTCCATTAAATCCTCAAGGTGCCCGCGGCCGACCGGTCGGCGACAGTTCAAATTTGATTTTTCTTTAAACTTCCCCTCCCCCTTCCCACAAGTATTCAGCGACAGTTTGCAGTTTTTGTTCGGGGCTGTTGCGCTGCGAAAGGTGCGCGTGACAGCTCATTGTTTTATTCGGCGCCACTTTGTCCGCCGGATAAAATTTCGTTGCTTAAGCCCCCGCTTAATCTCCCATTTAATCTCATAATGAAAAGATGTCATTCCGGCAATGAATTTCAAAGCGAGCGCGGGATAAAAAAGCATTTCGTTCCGACGCATCCGTCCGTCCAGGCTCACCTTCAAAACATGGCAGATGATGCATTCGGATCAGCCTGTGAACGACAGAGGCTCGTGGTATTTTTTACGAGTTTTCGTCTGGAATCTCCGCGCGCCGGCTTTTCATTTTTCACTCAACGACCAAACACCAATAGCGCGGCCTGATCCGCGTTAGATCGAACGATTATTGAAACTGCTCCAACCGGCAAGCGTTTTTCCTCTGTCCTCTATTGGTTGCGAATACCTCGCGAAATCGCGTCAAGCTTCGTCGCGTCGTCGTCCGATCCGCGACAACGCGTGAGCGACTTTTGCGGAATAATAAATCATGCACGCGACTAACGCGATGCGGATTGCGTCGCTGCACTGAGAAAAAATGATTGAGTTAAATTTTGCTTGAACAAAATTCATGTTCAGGCAGACGTTTAGTTGATTGAACGAATTATACAGTTGGTTGTCCGGTAACTCACGTCGGTAACTCGTACCGACAATTTATTAGTTTTTGCTACAACTAAGTGATAAAATCCCGCCTAGAATTGTGAGAAACAGAGTTGCTAATTTGATAGTTTGACGGCGAGAAATATCGATTAGTTTGGAATAATACACCAATGTTCTCTAATAAATAATTAAAAACTCTACGTGTTATGTGCAATGATGTGTAAATGTGTTATGTGTAAATGATAAAGGATTTTTTTGTTTAATTTGACCTAATCTACAAACACGCGATGGCAGACGTCGCTATCACCACTCATCTGCCGTATCACACTTGATTATTTATCAATCTTCTTTAATTTAGTAACTCAAAATATTATGTGGTTCTTCCTGGTTTCTTAGAGAAATAGAAAAAAAATTTCTTATTCATTTTAACCGAAACTATCTGTGGCTCCAACGCGAGTCACGGATACCCTGTATAGTTGCGATGAAAGTTATCAATTGATTCAACGATTGCGCCTTGGCCAGTAACCGTATCAACGTAACTTGTTGCGTAATTTGTTCAATAGATACGATTTTTCCTTGAAGGCGGATGATTTTGCCGACCCAACTGTGTTTTTCTTCTCGGTATGTGTGCGACGCAGCACGGATTCGCCCTCGGAAAGATTGGCGGGCAAATGTGGCCTAATGAAGGATATATTTTCCAAGAGTGAAGGCTGAAAATCTCTAATGGCGGTAATTTCCCGCGGAGCGCGGACGCGGTCGCAGGAATTAACGTTGCGCCATGTGTCTTGATTTTGCTTTAAGAAGGAGGTCAAAGAGCGCGCGCGCCGTCAGCCAGCCATCCAGCCAGCCAGCCAACCTGCTTCCCTACCTCGTCGAAGAACCGGGTTTTCCCAGGTCGAAGGACAGGCGCTCGAAGGAGCGGAACCGGCCTCAAGATCCGACTAGATCCACCCACGTAACCGCATAATGACGTTACGCTTGTAAACCGACGCGCGCAATGTAATTTCAACGCGCAATATAAACCCGACATTTGCGTATGCATTAACGATGCTTTAGCTTTTATAGCGAAGTCGTCACAATAACGCCACTCCCGTGGCGTCTCGCGCATGGAATTCATGTTTTTAAATATGTTCTGGCGGGAATTAAGTATGTTCTGGTCGCGCCTTTTTACGTCCCCAACATTTCTTCGCGCTTTCAGCACCTAAGTCACGCGCGTGGTAATCGCGCGGTAATATTCTCAGCAGAAGATGGAGGTGAAAAGTATTTATTTGGAGGAAGGAACATGGCGCTCCTTTATAATGCGCCCATTTTACGACGCCTCTAAACGAAGTGATATCATGGCAATCATAAGATGGGCTCTGAAGAAAGAAAAAATGGCGAATTTTGTTCTACTCGAGACGCAAGAGTCAATTTTCTTCATACACTGGAAAAAAAGTGGTTGAGTTAATAAGACTTTGCTTGAACGAACAAAATTCGCTCGAACAAACGCGTTCAGTCGATTGAACGAATTCTATCGTTGTTGCGACGAGAGTTATCGATTGGTTCAATGTTTTGATCAGTGACTACATCAACGCAACTTGTTGTCGCACCAACGTGTGATTTGTTCAATAGACACAATATTTCTTTGAAGACACGAGTGACCGCCGATTTTGTCGATTCAACTGTTTTTTTTCCTCGGTGTATAATTCGCGTATCTCGCGGTTTTGCAAGATACAGTCGTGTTTTCATGGTTCGCGTGGAAGCAAACAAAGGATAGCCGGCGCGGCAAACAGTCCATTGATCGCAAGTGATTATCGTCCAAAAAGACCTCGAAGTGTAGCGGTGCGTTCACCTTCTCGCGATGCATATATAAAGGAGCGATTCACTTTCACTCTCGTTTAGTCGGCTCCGGGTGTTATGCGCGCGGGTACGTCTTCCTTTACGGGCAACGAGGTACACATCGCGCCGAAAATCTTGAGAACCTCGCGAGAATGCGAGCAGCTCTGTTTATCCTTTACGTCGTGGTCGCGACGGCGTCCGGCGAAAATGACGAGTCTTGGGCCTGGAACGACGATAAGCAGAAGACGAGCAAGCCGGTCGGCGAGGCTAGGTGCGCTATCAGTCTATGACTAATATAGTAACGTTGAAAGTACAATTAGAAACGTAATTAGCGAGCTGATAAATAATATACGTATAATAATAAACAAATAATATACGCAATTAGAAACCTGATAAGTTATGTATAGAATAATCTGAGTAATATAGAGGAACTCTTCTAAAATGACATACCATAAGAAACAAATGTTCTTATACGTGTATTTCTTAATATTTTCAATTAATTGTCCACATAACCCGAATCATTAGTATACATGTGACATAATTGAATTTAAAATAGTTTTATGTGTTTTTTGTTTGTTATTTTTTGAAATTGTAACAGTATGCTATTTTATTCAAGTAACTCAGGTAAATGACATCCTAAAAGTCTATAAAAATGGAATATTTATTTGCAAATGTCACAAATAAATGACCTTTTTGGAAAGTAGCTCATTCATTGTGGGTCCACTGTGTGCGTTTGTTGCATTTGAGCCATGTCTCCTTCGGTTTGGAGCGGCTGAACAAATTTTCACAATATACATGGGACATCATTATTATCATCGCCTGTTTCAAAGTCCTTTTTTCATCTTTTCCAAACCATGATTTTATTCACGTCTGCCTAATTGTACGTATCGTTTATAATTGTCAATAGCGCGTCATTTTATTAAATAATTTTTATTTTATTTAATAATGAGAAAGAATATATTTATTTGCCATGTGTATAAATATTTTGTGCGTTTTTTCAAAAAGATTTAACTCACTGTCGAATATCAGCTACTTGAAACTTTCAAATCTAGATGTAACACAATACTATGCTTGCAAACGAAACCTCAATAACAAGAACTAAGCCATTCACTGTAAATCAATGTAATCAACACAAGGAACATAAAACATAATTGAAAAGTGCCTCTTACAGCAGTATTAAGAAACGAAAGGTCATTTTATCTAAGAGTGTCATTTTAGGATAGTTCCCCTGCACGTGGAAAAAAAGATAGGATTTGCTTGATTCAATAAATCTATAATTTTCTAGGCAACATTAAATGTTATAACTAAGCGGATTTGTCTGTGCAACAAAGAAATTACACATAAACGTAATTGTCCATCTGTTTATAGAGGAAATCCATTTTTGTTGATGTTATCTTGATTACTGCAGCAAATTATTTCGTATTTCGAGCTAACTGACGTTTGCGTAACAACTTCATTAATTTCAAATAAATTATATACTTATTCAGTAGATAATGAGGATATATTTTCAGTTGTTTCATGGAGAAGCGCACTCCCATTAAATCTGAGTGCAAATGTCCGTAATCAGAAATATGTTATTATACGTTACGCAATTTACATTCTCTTTTATATTAATTACATTCATTTGTGATATAAATTGTATCTATCTTTATGTGTCTGTATTTACATTTATAATAAATATTCTTTCATACTATTTAAATAAGGGAGACAGATTGTACAGTAAATATTCCAGATATTTCAACGAGCATTATTGCTTTAGTAAATTCTTGTCGCTAAAGGAAAAATAATTATTTAGCTATAATGAAATTCGTTAATGTATCAGATTTTCTTTGATAAACAGCAAAAAGATCAGTTACATATATCATAAGCTATATTTTCTATTGGAGTAGTAGAGAGCCTTCGTCTTCGCTATACTAGCAAATCTGCCGTGCTACAGCATCAAACTTTATTAGGTACAACCACAAATGTCATGTAGCTCCTCGACTTGGTTACTATGTAGCGTAGCAAACTCGCTGTATATTACGGCTATAGATATTTACTAAACTAGCGAGGTTTTCAGTTATGATAGCAAATATTCTCTTCCCGTGAATATACACTATAAGAGAAAAACATTAAAAAAATAAAGAAATATTTATACGATGGGTATATTTACATATTTTCTTAAATCTTAATTATTTTTGTTAAAATAGAATAAACAATTGCTTTCATGGCGAGCAATCAAGAAAATCTATATTTTCTCATTTGAGAAGTTCTTTTTCAATGTAAAAATATGTGTATTGATACAAGTAAAACTGTTATTAATATCTCTATCAAATAAATATTTCCCATTTGTTTATATATTATTTTTCTCAATTTACACTGAAAGAAAAAATATTTAAAAATTAATAAATACTTATTTGATTGTGATACTAACATATACATATACATATACATATACAGCATATTTACTTAAATTTAAATTCTTTTATTTAAATAGAATTAATAATTCTTTTATTTAAATAGAATTAATAATTTCTTTTATGAGAAAAACTTCTCTTAGAGTTTTTAAAAAAATGTAGATTTTCTTATTTGATATATATTTTATATCAATGTAAATAAATATCCTGTTAGTAACTATCAAAAAATATTCACAAATTTTTAAATATTTTTCTCTCGCAAATAACTCTTAGCAAGAAATACACATCGATTTTATTAACTTTTCGTGGTTTGATATAGCATTCCAAAAAATAAATATTTATTACAAAAAAAGCTTAAAATTTATTTCAATGTTTATACGAGGTGTTTCATTTTAATAACACTATTTATATTTCAATATTTTAATTTAGGAAAAAATGTTTCAGATAAAATTTTCTTGATTTTGATAGGTATGTGATATGGTAACCTCTACTATAGGATCTTAACCATAAAATGCCCTAAACCAATAGGAAGTCTTATGATTGAGTAAAGACCCCATCTTAAATACCTATCAAAATCAAGAAACTTTTATCTAAAATATTTTTTCCTAAAATGTGTTGTTTGTGAAAAATATTTTATAGCGTTATTAAAATGAGATCCTTCTGTTACAGCTGAAATCGATTTTGAGCTAACCCTTTTTGCAATAAATAATCATTTCTTGTGATGCTGTATCAAGCCACAAAGGATAAACAAAATGCATCACTTGGTGAGAGCTACTTATCAGTGCATGACGCGACGGTGGACATACCTGCGAAAATTATGTACTTTGCGACGTGATTTCCGTCATTACGTCATTATGTGTATGATTCCAGATATCAAGTGTACGAGCCTGATTTCGATGGCGTCGATGGGGTAGGCTTTAGACCGCATAATCCGGGCCCTTACGGTCCCAACAGCCGGCCGTTTGTACCGTCGTATCCAGGCAACAACGGCGGCGTCCTCGTCGGTCCCGGGGGACCAACTGGAATAATCGGCAGGTAAACGTGTCGTTTGCTGCGGTCTGAATAATATTGATCAAACGCGCGGAAAAAGACGTGCCAGTAAGAGCCGAACGCGGATCGAGTTGCGGTAAACGCGACGGACACTGAACACGCGATCGGCTAAGCAACATTTTCGTCTTCGCCTTGAAACCCTCTTCGAATGTTGGCGCATGAAGAAGCGACTGAAACTCCTTCATGTATGTGGAATGACGCGCGGTAAACTATTTGTATGAGCATTCTCTCTCTCTCTCTCTCTCTCTCTCTCTCTCTCTCTCTCTCTCTCTCTCTCTCTCT